AGAACTCCTATGTGTTTGAAGATGTCTTTTCAGACAGCCGTTGCTAGGTCTAGAAGCAGATTAGAAATCAATCCACAGACAGATGAATTTTACATGGCACCCGCTCCATGATTCTTTCATCTTGTGTGGCCTCCCAATTTGTGGCTGAGCTTTCGTGTGCTAGTCGTTTCCCCATCACAGCAGCTGCTTTTAAAACCAAATGGGAAAACTTGCTCGAAAGATGCCATTCTATTTCAGAGCCATGATAAAATGTATTCAGCTCTGCAGTATAGACCATACCACGGCCAGAATTTGTCAATGCAGATTGAGTGGCTCTGAGTGGTAAATTTAGTCATTTGTCATTACTGGTTGTAGTTGCTGAGATGGTTGGTGTATGTACATACATTGGTCAAGCAGTGTAGATTAATAGAAAGGACTAAAATGTGAAATCTAAATTGTATAATGGATGAATCAAATAATTTACTGCAAACAGTTCTTATTAGGTCAATCCAGTAGACACACGCTACATAGTAAACTAATTAGCTTTCTAAAATTGTTGTTATTTATGTATAGCTATCATTTCATTCTGCTGCTGTGCATGTCACGAATGCAGAGAGAACATTTCAGTTTATTTGGCATAATAATCTGTCCCTGTATTGTAAATCATGTTACCTGCACCTGGAATGTAGGTAAATCAAAATTGTGATTGTAATTGAGATTTTTCCTTTGTTTGAGTTTTGGAATTCAAAGTTTCCTTCATACAATGCAAGGTGCGGCTCAGTGAAGATTAAAGAGTACAATATGGTGCAGTACTTTTTAGAATAACAGCACCCCAATGATTCATAATAAAAAACAGAACAGTGAGTTCTTACCAGTGTCCAAGATCAGAGCCGAGGAGCTTTGCGAATTCAAACTATAACTCAAAATAACAACCGAGGCTTATGTTTCCCTTATGTAACGCACTGACCGCTGCCAAAAAGCACACATAAAAAAAATCCACACATGCTTTCAGCGAACAGCACTGTTTACAAAAAAGAGAACACGTAAGGGTCAGAGGGTACCAGCCTTTGGTTATTATGGCCAAATTTGAACAATATAATTTTTATGATGTCGGTATGAGTAAACGTGCAGCCAAGATTTCATGGATTTAAGGAGATGTGCAGATACAGATATTAGGGGGCGGTCTGTGAGTGCAAATGCCCCAGGCGCTACATGATGAGGCTCATAATCTGATAGGGCCCCCCTTCTCAAGCTGGCATCAAAAGATTGAAATTGACTCCCTGGTGGTCCGTGGTGCAGCTGCACTGCCTCACAGTTATGGCATTCTTTGAGTGAGTCAGAGTGCATGTGCTGAGTTTTCCAGCCTACACTCTCTGACGTAATCACAGAATGCCGGATTTGGAGGACTGGGGTCCACCAGAAACCCACTGGGCCACCAGGGGATAACTTATTGCCGCCATTCCATGAGGTAACACCCGTGTAATTAAGGGGCGTATGTGGTCTGCAACAATATCTTGGTAGGAGGTACATGTGATAGCAACATCCAAAGCACAAAACACATCTGTTCAGAAATGCTTACAGACATCCCAAGTCTCCCGGTAGGTCAAGGAGACTCCCGTATTTGTAGTGTGTCTCCCTGACACCCTCATGTCTCATACAATATCCTGGAAATCACACACAATCTGACATACTATATATATATCAGATTGTGTGTTATTTCCAGGCTATTATATATGCTAAATGCCCTCAATACATTAAGGGCATTTAGCATATATTAAGATTACCTCCAATGAATGTTACTTCTGAGCAGTAACTGCCTGCTGGGAGGAAGTGATAACACCCTGTCATGTCCTCCCAGCTAAGAAGTCAGCTGCACGGAAGGGAGGAGGAGGCTGGAGCACACAGGCAGCATGGAGATGGTAATTGCTGGCCTTCTGAAGGGAGAGTTAGTCTACATAGTTAGACAGCCGGACAAGAAGAACGACCTCGTGCAGCAAGCAGCAAGCAACAGCAAGACCTTGGGGTCCTTTGTTCCCTATTCTATATAGATATGACCATAATGATGTCAGAGTATAACCATAGCCATGTAAGGACTAGACCCCTAATCCACATTCCAGAGTTCTCAGACAAAGAAAGCCTTGTGACTGATACCATATGTTACTTATGTCAATCCAAACACCTATACATAATGAATAGAAACATAGAATATGCAACATTCTACAGAATGTACGCGCATGTGCATATGTGGGGGTGCGCGCAGGGGGTGTGCAGTTACTGGTGAAGCCACCTCCCTGAGATGAGCTTTTCCATGTTGGGATGTCAGTGTTTATGGACTCACAGAGTAAGTTATCTTCACCTATCCATATCTGTCTCTTGCTCTCCTAAAGAGCCATACTCCACTCTCACCTCCAGCTCTGCTACTTTTCCACCTTGTTTGGTGGCTGTCACCCTTGCTGGACTGTTGTGTATTTGTACCCCACCTCCTCTAGACTCTAAGCTCGTTTGAGCAGGGCCCTCATCTACCTATTGTTCCTGTGTCACTGTTTAATTGTCTTAATTATTGTAAATCCCCCACCCCCCCGTCATAATTTTGCAAAGCATTGCAGAATTAGTTGGCGCTATATAAATACCAATAATAATAATAATCAGCTCTCAGTGATGAGCATTGTACACATATTATTGGTCAGTCTGGGGCCACTATATAGCAGAGTAGTGTTAATTTCAGTGCTCAACCCCTTAACGCCGTAACGGCTTTGAGCCCTGGAGCCGCTGGGATACTCACCTTCCCGGCGCTCCGCTTCGGGAGGACTGCCTGACAGCCCAGGCAGCCCTCAAATGCCAAATCAGGCTCCCGGGGGCCATGTGATCGCTCTTAAAGAGCGATGTTTCTAGTTTCTAGTATTGGATTGTGACATTCGTCCTCTCCATTTTTAACTTGGTTGAAGGCCCTTTTGAGAAGTCTTCTGGGATAGCCCTAACACTATAGCGTTTCTTCCGCTTTGCTGTATTCTTACTATATTATATAATAATGATCTTATAATAAAGATAATCATTTTCGCTTCTGGACTTCCTGTGCTTTTCAGATTGTTCGAATTTTATATCATTGATTTATAGACCTCAGTTTCCAAATCTGTATTTTTAAATATAGAAAAAAAGAATGTTAATGCTCACAAACCTAAGGAAGACGTTCTCAGTGGAAAGGAGATATTTACATAGTCTATTGGTGGGTAATATTCACCTCGCCCCCCCATGTTTCCAAGGTTACCCACCATGTCTTTAATTAAGGTGCTTTGAACTAATTGGAAATGTTGAAGAATTTGGAAAAAGGGTTTGTGACTGTCTAACAGCTCCCTGATCCTCCATAGTGATATCATTTCACATTCTGCTGCAAGGAATGGAAAGCTTAGAGCAACCCAAATATTTCACTTTGAAGAGGTTTGTTGTCCCTGGCATGCAACCCTTATAAAATGGGAAGTATGATCAAATTGCTAAGGAAACAGCCCAGTGCACAGGAGAACTATCTGATTACATAAGCCGTGCAGGAATGCTGAGTAAAACTGGCCGAATGGATGATGCTACTCTGCAAAGTACGATCCTGAACCTAATTTCTGAATTACAAACTGCTCACTGGATAATTACTGTAGATGAATAAAGGTCGAAAAACCCAACAAAACGGTTTGCCCGCACGTTAGAATAAATCATGTTTTAGAGAAGCCCTGTATTGTTTTCTCCTTCTTGTTGTTTTTCTGCTATTTTGAGTGATATATATATATAGACATAGTTTTTATTTTATTTTGAGTCTGCACAGCATTCAGTACTTGTCATTTTGTTTCTTGACCATCACTGGTTGGAGACATAACACAAACGCCTTCACTATTGTGGCTCTTTGGGGTATAGGCAGGTTGCCGAATGGTTCATTTGGATAAGTTCTCGAACTCAGCTAACGTCACAACTTAGCCATCTAAAGAATTATTCAAATACTTTTTCTATGCTGTGTTTACTTTATTTTAAAATGCACTATTGGGCCCTTGTAGCTTGTCCGCCCCCCTTTTTTCATTAAAAATAAAAAGCTCTCTAAAAGCTATAACTTCTGCCCGCTCCTGCCCTCTTTGGGGTTTAATCAAATGCTCCCTTTGCAGAAGCATTTGATTGGACCATTCACAGTGCCACAGGATGCATTCGTGCACGCTGAGCCAGGGAGGGAGTGGGGGAGCAGACGAGGGAGGGCATTAAAAAAAATATATAAATATATGTATTTACCTTACTGTGGGGAGGTGGAGAGGTAGGTTGCAGAGGAAGGAGAGATCTAAGCTTCCCCTTGCAGGCATGCTCCCAGCACTGCTTGCAAGGGTAGAAGCTAATATGAATATCATCAGCCTTCAATGTGCTCTGAAGACTTATCATTTTTGCATAGAATTTACATTCTGGGCTGCCTAAGTAACTAGCCCCCAGCAGAAAAGTTATCTCTGTATGTAAAAGTTATCTCTGTATGTGCAGCCTTTCAAGCACAAACATTGCACATACAGAGTCCTAGTTTCTGACCCTGACTGTATTTATCGCAAGACTGCTTGCCTGCCTGCCTTTGGCGGCGAAAAATGTCAGCACAAACTGCCCCAGCAGATGCCCTGTTTGGGCTGGCTTGCCACTCTAGGGTCCCCTCCGAGGTCCTCGACTACAGGCAGGTGGTGAGGGAGCGCCGATCTCTGCTCTTCTTGCTCTGCTCCCTTGCGTTCCCTCATGTGATGCCGGGAGCCAGAGTGACGTCACTCCAGCCCGCATCGCTAATAGGCGTGTAAGGGGGCAGAGGTAGGGAAAGGTAGGGAGGCTGGATGGATTTTTTTTTGAAAATCTGTTTATTGAAGAAAAGAGAGGGTTACAGAAAGAATTCGGCTCGCAGGCCTACTTAAAAGACAAGGGTATTGTAGCGATATTTCCATATTTTGAGTCACATTTTTTGTGCCCACATAACCAAGTCTCCTGACAGGATTTAATTACAGCGATAAGTTACGTAACTAACAGTAGGCGTACATAGGATAACAGAAAGGTAAAGTATGTAGAGTGACAACCGTCATTGTTTTGGCGTACGTACATATGTATAGTATGTAACATCCTTATTGCTAGTAAGCGGTCTTTTAACATAAAGCGTGGCTCTAAGTCGGGTGCCTTCATAAGACACAGTATACCTTGTAGCAGGAGTGCCTAATAATAGGCTGGACATAGTTAACTAGCTCCTGGCATGAAAGGAGCGTAGGTGCTTTGGTCTTAAGGTTAGGCTTGGTTATCCTATGGGTGTGTTCCCATGTCCCGCAATTCGATGTACCGATAATAGTGCCAGTATTATGTATTCCTTTTTTTTTTTTTGGTTTTCTTGACTCTTGGCTTCCCCCTCCTCCCCCTGTCCCCCAGGCGTGTGCATTGTGTATTAGACATGTAAGAGGGGTCAGCATGGGAAAGAGAGTCGAAAAGGGAGAAAAGAAAGTAGCGGTCCTATCAGGTTCCCCCCCCCCCTTGTCCCCATGTCGCGCCCCGTGGGTGCCCAGTGGTTATAGTCGCGTGCGAGAAGGGAGGTCTCGGTTGGGTCACGTATTTTCAGCGTTTCGGAATGTGTGTGGGAGGGTTGGGTCGGCGGGCCGATGTTGGTTTCATCTGCCCAGGGATTATATTTCCAGTGATGGAGTGGTCCCAACCCCCATGGCTTTGGCGGGGTAGGCGCGTGATCTGTCTCCCCGTCCACCGTCACTCCCTCCCCCCTCACGAGACCTTTAGTGCCCTCCAGCCTGGTAGACGAACCATGGTTGCCACATCTCCGCGTGCCTGGTCCCCCGACCCGTCAGGGATGCCTGTAGTGCTTCCGCCAACTGTATGTCTCCGACTCTGTTTCGCCATTCTGCAACCGTGGGGACCTCAGTTCGTTTCCAATATACAGGGATAAGGGCTTTAGCTGCATTCAGTAGGTGACGTAGGATGGACTTCTTGTAACCAGATATGGATCGCGAGGTGATGTGCAGGAGAACTAGTTCCTTGGACCATTCCGTGTCCTCCCCTAGTACCTCCTTGATTTCAGACCGGATTCGTTCCCAATATGGGATAATGATCTTACAATCCCACCAAAGGTGTATGATCGTGCCTCTCTCCTCCTGACATCTCCAGCATGTTGGGGACGCCGTTGGGAAGATCCTGTGTAGGGCAACTGGTGTTCTATACCACATGGATATCAGTTTATAGTTTACTTTCTGATAGTGTGAGCTGGAGGAACTCTTGTGTTGCCATAAAAGTGCTGCGTCCCACTGTGGTTGCGATATCGGTCCGCCCATTTGTTCTTCCCATTGTCTCCTGAAGGTGTTGTTAGTTGGGGTAGCTCCCAACAGCAGGTGTTGGTATAGCAGTGAGATTGCTTTGTCGAGTGTGGCTCCTCGTTGGCAAAGACCCTCAAACCATGTGAGGTCTCTATGTAGGTGTTCCCTGCGTGGAATGGATCTATAGTAGTGTGTTAGTTGCAGGTAGCGGAGGGACGCCATGGGCGTATTAGGTCTGTCGGCCATTAATGTGTTTAGGGGTCGAAGTGCCCCTTCTTGAAGGACCGTTCGAATCGGGATGTAGTCCCCCTCCTCCAGAAATATCCAGGCCTTGGCCGAAATGCCTCCCGCCAGATTTGGGTTGGGGACTATGGGGAGCAGGGGGCTGGGGGTCGGGGACACATGGCTGGTTTTCCGTATCGTTGCCCAAGTCTTTAGCGTCTGCGTCGTCGGGTTCCCTGCTCCTTCGCCATCGCGACATCTCGTTCCCCCTTGCCATACCGCCGCTTTAAGTGTGGCCCGTGATTCTCCCCCATCCAGGACGACCCATTGTTTTGGGGAATCAGCCGCGTGCCACTCCAGGATTCGTTGAAGTGTGGTGGCTTGGTGGTATCTTTTGAAGTCCGGGAGCGCCAGGCCACCTCCCAGTCTAGGTAGGCAAAGTACGTTATGGCGTAGTCGAGATTTCTCCCCTCTCCAGACATATCTAATTACCGCCGATTTCAGGGTGGAGAAGAAGGTTGTCGGTGGTGCCACTGGTATTGTCTGAAATAGGTAGAGGATTCTCGGGAGCACGTTCATCTTGATTACTGCGATTCGTCCGTGCCAGGTGATGTGCGGATATGCCCATCTGTCAAGATCTGAGGTTACCTGTCGCAGGATGTTGGCAAAGTTATGTCGATAAAGTTCCTGCGGGTTTGTGGTGATCCACACTCCAAGATATTTCATTTTCTCCGCGCACCAGCGGAATGGAAAGACTGTTCCCAATTCCAGGTATTCTTCCGGTGGAAAGGTTAGATTAAGTACTTCACATTTTGAAAGATTAAGTTTAAATCCTGCGATTTTCCCGAATTTTTCGAATTCTAGCAGTAAGCAGGGCATCGTGACTCGTGGGTTAGAGATAAAGAAGAGAAGATCGTCCGCGTATGCGGCCACCTTATGCTCCGTTCCCCTCCAATTGTATCCCGAGATGTCTGGGTTATGGCGGATCGCGTGTAGTAGTGGTTCCATAGTCATTGCAAATAGTAGTGGCGACAAGGGGCATCCCTGTCTAGTTCCATTTTGAATCTCGAAGCCGGAGGTAAGGGCCCCGTTCACCCGAATAGATGCGTGTGGTTTATCATACAGGGCAGAGATCCACGTCAACATGTTCTGTCCTAGGCCCATGGCCCTCAGTGTGTCCATCATGTATGACCAGTTAACACGGTCAAAGGCCTTTTCGGCGTCCGTGGAAAGGAGTAAGATCTTGTCCCGCGTCTCCCGTGCTCTGTGTTGTATGGAGAAGAGGCGCAGTGTACTGTCTCGCGCCTCCCTCCCCGGTATAAACCCCGTCTGGTCTTCATGGATCAGGCTTGACAGTATATGTTGTAGCCTAGTTGCTAGTACCTTCGTGAGCAGTTTCGTATCCACGTTTAGTAAGGATATTGGTCGGTAACTGCTACACTGTTCCGGGTCTTTCCCTGGTTTGAGCAGGACCGTGATAGTGGCGGCTAGTGATTCCGCTCCGAATCTTTTCCCCTCGGTGATGGTGTTGACCGCAGTAGTTAGTCGAGGTAGGAGAGTTGAGGAAAAGCGTTTGTAATAACCTATGGAGAATCCATCAGGTCCCGGTGCCTTGCCCGCCTTAGCACTCTTCAAGGCTGCGGCCATTTCCTCAATGCTAATCGGTTCGTCCAGCGTATTCGCTGCTTCCCGTGATACCCGGCTACCTACGTTGTCTTGTAGGTATTCTTGGATAGGTGTGCTGGCGTGGTTTCCCATCGTCATATTTCCAGGGCCATGTAGATTATACAAGGCGTGGTAATATCGTTGGAATTCATTGGCGATGTCCTCAGGGAATTGGGACACTGTCCCTGTTTGTAGACGTATTTTATGTATCCGTGTGTGGGGGGTATCGCCTTTCAGGACGCGGGCTAGGTATTTGCCTCCTTTGTTAGCATGGATATAGAAAAAGTTCTTGGAGTGTTGTAGTGAGCGGTAGTATCGTTTCGTGAGAAGATCTTTCAGTCTGCGTCGGGCATCTGTCAGGTCTTGTCGGACACTGGCAAGTTGGTTTTGTTTGTGTTGGAGTTCCAGCTTCGAGATAGTCCCATATAGGTCCGCCATTTCCTGCATGGTTGCCTTCCGTCGTCGAGAGGCTATTTTTATAAGTATACCGCGGATGGTACTCTTATGAGCTTCCCAGAGTACAATTGGAGAGGTGTCTGACACATCATTTTCTTCGAAGTAAAGGTCAAGAGCTCGTGCAATTTCGTTTTCCACCTCGGGGTCCTGTAGCAAGGATTCGTTCAGACGCCAGGTCCATGTTGCCGGTTTGAACAGTGGCGATTCCAGTTCCACTGTAACCGGACCGTGATCCGACCATGTAGCGGGGTCGATTGTGGCCTTCTTCAGTCGCGACAGGCCTTCCTGTTGGATTAGTACGTAGTCAATCCGCGAGTAGCGGTTGTGAAGTGCGGAGTAGTGGGTGTAATCTTTGACATCCGGGTTGAGTACTCTCCAACAGTCCACCAGTCCCAAGTCACCCATCGACTTACGTATCGAGTGAATGCTAGACATAGGTATATAACAGTGTCCCGTGGATGTGTCCATCTGAGGGTCCAACGGGGTATTGAGATCACCCCCCACAATGAGTGTGCCCTCCGAGAATCCGCTCAGTTTGTTCATTGTTCTCCGAAGGAAACGTGCCTGGTTTTTGTTGGGCACATAAATGGAAGCCAGGGTGTACATTCTGTCCGCTATCGTGCCTTTTAGGAAGAGGTATCTCCCTAGCTTGTCAGTTACCTTATCTAGTTCTTTGAAGTCCAGTTCTGCTGCAAGGGTGATAGCGACTCCTGCTTTACGGGTTGTGGGATGATTGCTGAAGAAGGTGTTGGGGTATTGCCGATTACGGAGTTTAGGCGCGGACCCCTCGAGGAAGTGAGTTTCCTGGAGCATCGCTATGGAGATTCGTTTTTTCCGTAGTTCACGAAGCAGATGGGTGCGTCGTTCCGGCACGTTCAGGCCTCGGCAGTTGAGAGCCATAGCAGCTAGCGGAGCACCGAGGTACGCCATCGTCAATCCGCCAGCCAGGAGGGGGCACGCGGAGATCCCAGCACCAGGTCTTATATTACAGCTAGCTGGAGGCCTGTCCACGTTCCCTCAAAGTCACCCAGTGATCAGTCCACAGTGTAGCCGCAGGTGCGGTGGGTCGATTGGCGTGGGATCACCGAGTGCGCAGGGCTCCCACCCCGCGACCGGTGCTATGTCAAGACGTCAGGCACTTCAGGTTGCGGGTCGATATGTCCTTATGTGGTAGGCTCAGAGCGACTAGGGTAGTAGGGGCGATAAGTGTACTCACACGCGGAGCACACCCTTGAGTCGGGGGGGGGGTTGTCACAGGTCCGTCAAAGTAGGTTGTAGAGTGAGGAAAATGTGTGGGTTAAAAAAGTGGGGAGTTATAAAGACCCCCAAGTAGAGGTGGCCCCGAGAAGGGGAAAGGAAAGTGTCCACCTCGGTCCTCCTTTGTGGAAAGGAGGGTGTAGCCGTGCGACGGCGGGAGGTGCCCGGGCCCACCCCGGTAACCAGACCGATGTGTGGGCCTGCGGGAAGCCCCGACGTCTAAAACTGTGCACGGTTTTTGTTAGGGGTTAGCAGCCCCGCCCCAATCCTTCTTGGGCCGAAAGTCAGAGTGTTGTAACCGATCAATACTAACCAGCTCCCCCCCGCCGGCCCTCCAGCCTGGTGCCGGTATCGGTACATGGAAAGCCAAACATATAAACAGTAGTATACATACATTTCAACATTGTAACATATGAGGACAATACCCAGAGTCCAATCGGCTTGCCCCCTCCACCGTCCCGTCTCCCGCCCTCCCCGATTCCCCGGACCTGGATGCGCTCCTGCATCCTGGACGTTAGTCAATGAAAAACAAGTAACGTATAAGTGACATCATCACGAACATTAGGCATGCATACATAATATGAGGTTATTATTATGTCTCATTCCCCTTCCCCCTTCCTTTTCCTACTTTCCCCCCGTCCGTCTTCCCTCTCCCCTCTCTGCTTACCCTTTGTGTGGCAATTGGGGAATATATTCAATAATGTGTCTGCGAAATATGGCCCGGGTGTCTTCTATGTCCCAGTACTATCCCCCTCCACTTCTATCTATGCTAAATCCTCCTATCTGTTTCTGCGGGTGTGTTGTGGCGAGTGCCCCCTACTCCTGGGTATGGCAGCCCATCGAATGACTATCCAGAGTATAATGTGCCCCACCCTCTTATTTGCTGGTACTTAACGGAGGAAAAATATCACGTGGTGGAGCATGGCTTAACTAATGAGAGGCCTGCAAGATCCAGGGAGGTGTCATGTATAAGGCTATTGATGCGTCTTATTCCCTGTGTGTTGTGCAGGTACTATAACCATTAATTCTAGGTGCAAAACATGCAGATCAGTGGGGTCGAGCTTAACCATTAGCTTATGTGCAGGGGTAGTGTCCTGTACCGTAAAACCGTGGTGGGCTTCTCCTGAGTTGACAGCGTAATGCTGGGGATTCCGTTCCTCGTGTGATGGAGCTTCGTGTAGTGGTGTATGTTCATCCCCCAAAGTACTTAGCTCGTCATGTCATCTAGAGCTTGTGTTATGCCGCCCTCATCCGTTTGGTACGGCAGCTCCACTTGTTTCGTATAACGAGTGCCCCCCAGTTTCCCCACCCCAAACCTTATTCCCGTGTGATGGTATGGCAAGCTGTGTTCGAGCTCAGTCTCGGCAGGAAAAAATAAAAAAAAATTTAAAAAAAGAAAAAAGAGAAAAATATACATGTACGTTACATCTTCGTTATCCAGCTGTGTAGGTCCCCGGATCGTCCAGCAGGGTAGCATGTTCCGTGACATCTATGGCAAGTGCAGGTCTCCCAGGTGGGGGCGAGGATCAGGGAGACGTGCCCGGCGGGGGCGGCGACATGACCGCTTATTCTGGTGCCTCCTGGTTGTTGTGCCTTCGTTGCGCTGGTCCCTGTGGCGGTCCTCCTCCTCGCCTCCTGGGTGCTCTTTGCGGCTGTGGTCTCCCCCCTAGGGGGCCCAGGATCCAATCAGGGACCGAGATATGCGGTAGATCCATTTCTTCCAGAAATCTCGGAATCTCCTCGGGCCAACGTATGGAGGACCATCGATTCTGGTGGCGGGCCAACAAGGCAAAGGGGTAGCCCCATCTGTATTGGATATTCCTCTCTTGAAGGGCTGCTGTTATGGGCTTCAGTGCCCTTCTGGCCTCTAATGTGATGGGGGAGAGATCATTAAATAGGGATACCATTGTGTCCCTAAAATTCCAGGTAGGCCTGGATCTGGCCGCCTTCATGATGGCGTCTTTGTCACGGAAGGAGCTGAGGCAGCATATTATATCCCTCGGGTTGTCGTCCGACGGCCTGGGGCGTAGTGCTCTGTGTGCCCGCTCATAGCTGAATGTGTGTGGGGCATCCGCTCCCAGGATCATGTGAAAGATGTCATTGAGGATGTTTTCAATAGTTTCCCCGTCTGATTCAGGGACCCCACGGACCCTAATGTTGCATCTTCTCCCCCTATTGTCCAGATCCTCTATTGTTCTCCTCATGTGTAGGAGCATTTCCCCCTGGCGTGCAAGGGCTGTATCGGTCGCCTGCAGCCTAGTGGCCTGGGTTTCCTGGGAGTGTTCCAGGCTTTGTATGCGGCCTGTATGGGCAGTTACTTCTGACCTGATTCCTGCAATCTCGGCTCGTAGGGCGTCCTGTATGGAGGTGGTATGTACCAGGAGGTCTGCTTTTGTGGCCATGGCAGCAGCCATTGATCTGATCTCCTCCCCGATCCCCTCTAGTGTAGCGCCACGAGGTTCTCTGGGGGACTGTTCTGCCGGCGCCATATTGGATCCGCCGGCCTCCCCGCTCATGTCGGCTTGGCTGTGGAGGAAACCGTCCATCGGGCCGTGAGTGTGCCCTATCTGGGAGCCCCTCGGGGTCTGGGGGGCATCAGTGCGACGGTGGCGTCCCATGTGTGCGGAGGGTTGCTGATTAATAGGCTGTGGTAGGTGCCGGCGGGTCGGAGCTCACTCTCTATGCGTCCATCTCGCTCGGAGCTCAGGCCACGCCCCCGAGGCTGGATGGATTTAAATTAAAATAAGAAAAAAAATAACAATAATTTTTGAGTATAAAATGTGTCTGAGTGTGTGTCTGTCAGTGAATGTGTGTGTGTGTGTGTCTGTCAGTGATTGTGTGTCTGTTCGTGAGTGTCTGTCAATGTGTGTCTGTCAGTAAGTGTGTGTGTGTCTGTCAGTAAGTGTGTGTGTGTGTGTGTGTTTGTGTCTGTCAGTGAGTGTGTGTCTGTGAGTAAATGTATGTATCTGTCAAAATGTGTGTCACATCAGTAAGGATGTGTGTGTCTGTCAGTAAGTGTATGTCAGCGTATGTCTATATGAGAGTGTGTGCGGCCTTGACTGGAAGGGGTTGAGCAAATTTAGATTAGGCGGTGTAGGCGGTGCTTCAGGTTCAGTCATGCGTAGGGCAGCACAAATTCAAAATACACCACTGCTCTCTGGTATTCACACCAATGAATTAAACATAGGATATCAACTATAACTTGTGTTATAACCTTTAACCCCTTAAGGACGGAGTCAATAGTGCACGTTGTGATCAAAACAAAACGTAAACAAAAACTTTAATTTGCGCTATATGTCTGTTCAGGTGTAATTCACCTCTTTAATTTTATGTGCACCCACACTTATTATATATCATTCTATTCAGGGGAAACAGGGATTTCATTTAACAACAAATATTTAGGTATAAAACATAATTTAATATGAATAAAATATAAAAAAATGGGAGAAAATAAGAATTTTAAAAAAATGTTTAGTTCTATGTGGCATTCTAACTGTGAATGTCATAATACTGTTTGATTTTACGGCAATAAAATACCCATATTTGTATTCAGCGATGTCTCACGTGTAAAACAGTACCCCCTATGTACAGGTAGTATGGTGTTTTGGGAAGTTACAGGGTCAAATATAGCATGTTACATTTTTCAGTTTTTTCACATTGAAATTCGCCAGATTGGTTACGTTGCCTTTGAGACTGTATGGTAGCCCAGGAATGAGAATTACCCCCATGATGGCATACCATTTGCAAAAGTAGACAGCCCAATGTATTGCAAATGGATGGGGTATGCCCAGTCTTTTTTAGTAGCCACTTGGTCACAAACACTGGCCAAAATTAGTGTTAATATTTGAAAATGCAAAAAACTAATTTGAACATCAATTTTGGCCAGTGTTTGTGACTAAGTGGCTACTAAAAAAGACTGGACATACCCCATTTGCAATACCTTTGGTTGTCTACTTTTGCAAATGGTATGCCATTATGGGGATAATTCTCATTCCTGGGCTACCACACCGTCTCAAAGGCAACGTAACCAATCTGGCGAATTTCAATGTGAAAAAACTGAAACGCAAGCCTTATATTTGACTCTCTACCTTTTGAAAACACCATAAAACCTGTACATGAGGGGTACCGTTATACTCAGGAGACTTCGCTGAACACAAATATTAGTTTTTCAAAATGGTAAAACGTATCACAACAATTATATTGTCTGTGTAAGTGCCATTTGGGTGTGAAAAATGCAAAAAATTTCACTTTTACTGACAATATCGTCAATGTTATACATGGTACTTTTTGGAAACACTAATATTTGTGTTCAGTGAAGTCTTCCATGTAAAACAGTACCCCCCATGTGCAGGTTTTATGGTGTCTTGGAAAGTTACAGGGTTAAATATAGTGCTAGCAAATTAAATTCCCTGGACTTTTGGCCTGGGTTGTCAGGCTGGTCCTGCTAATTGTAATTAATAAATTTATCTAATTATCTAAAATTATTACATAAATATATATGTAGAATTATTATATATGTGTGTATATAAATATACGTATATATATGTATATCATTTTTTAAAATAATTTTTATCTATTTATAGGTATATATAGTGATACATACGTATTTACTTATATATATAGATATATATATTATTTTGTTCTACATGTATTTTGATATCAATATATATATATTAATTTTAAAATACAGTTAGAACGAATTTACACATATATATTTTTTATTTATTTATTTTATTATTTTTTTAAATTACATTTTTGGCATGTTTACAGATTAATTTATTTTATATTATATATAAATATATATATAATGAAAATTATATATGTATTTAATCAATATCATTGTACGTGTATTTTGATATTAATATATATTTATAATTATTTATAAATTAATATTAAAATACACTTAGACAGTGTATGAGTATGTGTGTATATGTGTGTATATATATATGATCTAAGTATATATTATTTATTTTTACACTGATTTAACTTTTATTTTATTTATTTTCAGACAGCAGGGGGAGTACCTGTCATTACAGGCACTCCCCCTGCTGGCATTGTTATGGACGGCTATGCCACACATGGCCCAGGGGGGCCGAAGAGGACGGAGGGGGACTCCCTGGGCTCCCAGGTGAGTCCCCATACCGTGATCGTCGGCGTGGGATCCCCGTCGACCAGGTAAGTACAAAGGACGGTTTGGGCATTCTATGCCGCCCAGTGGCATTTAGAGCCACTTACTTAAGGACGGCATAGATCGCCCGCCGTCCTTAAGGGGTAAAAAGACGTTTTCTTCTCTTTCTTTCTGTTTTTCCTTCCAATTTATATTAAAGATTTGGCAGATGATGTCATGTACCCATTCAGGCATGTGTAAATAGTCAGCTAAGCTTCCAGTTTGGTGTCTTTGGTCATAATTTTCTAATTCACTTTGAATTCCCTACAATTCTCACTTAAGTTGAATAGGCCTGAATGGATTCTCTGTATGCTTTCTCTATGCTGACTGCCTGGGCAAATGACGAAGCTTATAAAATGGCTGACAAGGAGCTAAGATGGAGGCACACTGTTTCCTGATAGAGAGATGAATGTGAATTTCAACATTTAATTTATTTTTCAAATCTCACAAATACATATTTGTAAAATATAAGGATATGTAACCATAATATCAAAATCCTGAGAACGGATAGATTCCTATAAACCGCACAGACCAAGACATGATAACGACACGGTTCGAGAAAATAATAATAATTTTCCAGTCCGTTTTACAGGTTGCATAACAGCAATAATTAATAAACGTAACTTGGTACAGTAGAAGATCATTCCTTCATGTCCCTGCGGACTTTACTAGACGTCTAGGCTGGAGTTTGGATTTGCAGAAGGAATTCCTCATCCTTCGATGAGTAATCAGTTCCTCTGACACAAATCTATTCCATGAACAGACTTTCTCTGCAAATTTTGGCTTGGAAAAACACATTCCTTCTAGCACCTTATTACATAGCCAGCATTATAATGGGTGTAACAGCGACACCTAGTGCCCGTTTTTAAACTTTGTCTGATAATAAATTTGCTGTTTGCAAAACATCAGGAAGGAATTTGGATCACTCCCCCTATTCAGTAATTCCAGCCAATAGGCTGCCTATTGCCCTGGCTGTGATCTATATATACACAGGCTGCTGGCTATGGAGAGATAACTAATTCTAGAAGTTACAAGTGATTACATCTCTGCTGAGCTGGAAAACACACCATGGTCTGGAGAATGACTTCTTGCCTGGTCCTATTCACTCTCTGCTTGCTACATCATGTAAGTGTCACTTTGTCTCACTGTGCTGAGTCTGTAAGGGTTTGTAGCAGCTATACATCAGGCTGTGCTAATCCTTCTAAGAAGATACAATATATTCTATTCAGTCTGAGTGGGGATTTATTTTCAATCAAACATGAACTGCACAGAGAGAGTGTAACTATTACTTTATATGTGTATCTATTACCAGCAGGTCTGTACAGTACAATATGCAGATTTTAGTACATTGATGGTTAGTTCTGTAAATCTGTCTGGATCAGTTTACCAAGAGAACAATTCACAGCATGCCCAGCCAGACTAGTTCAATTGAAATCTTGTTTTTGTTAGTTTGTTTGTTATGTGCATTATATTAGTGATTTCTACTTTGCTAAGGACTAAGGGCTCCTGATCTAGGCTTTATGGGGGAGTTTCAATAATCAGATTCTTGAGATAGATAAATGTGTGTGGTTTGAAAGAAAGATCTGTACTAGGAATGCATATTGTGGTACCCTGTGATTGCTGTAGTCTTTTGGTATGGAGCAAAGCAGCAGGAATGTAAATGGCCATTCCAGTGTACTGACTGACAGTATCTACATAAACTGGGACTGTCATTACTATTTCTACTGCTTAAAATGCAGATGGCAGTACATGTTACCTAAATATTATTTATTAAGTTTAATCCTAAAGTTTCAATGTTCAACTGAAAAGGTTCCCTATCCTCACTTACATTTGATTATTATTATTAATCTTTGCAATGGGTTTGCACATTCCTTTGTTTCCTAAATTATTTAATGTCATCATTTTGATACAGTTTGATACAAGTTTGATATAAATTATTTATTCATCAGTATGAGTATTAATGAGTCTTTGGAACATTAACAATTTTTTCCACTGGAAAAGGGGGGGAGGAGGGGAGGTCTGGCATGTGCTGTTACAAAAGCTCCTTCAAAAACTACATCTGTGATTTTTATTTTATTGGGGGAGGCGGGGTTGGAGCTATTTTTACCATGCAAAACCAAAAAACAAAATGAATAGAGCTAAAAGTTGCCTCTATTCTAATGTTGAGGCCAAGTTCTCCTTCGGGCCAGATATTTCTCTTCTGATGTCACTCAACTTTGCTGGAGGGGGAGGGATGTCAGGAAGGACAGGCTGAGGGGGGTGGGGAGGCATGGGTGGAGTGTTGTGCATAGAATTTAAATTAGCCAACACGCTGCTCTTGTTGCGGACTGCCTAAGGGCGCCCCAATGACGTTGCCAAAGGTGGAGTTATAGCTTTGGAATAATTTCCTTATGTACAGTATTTCAAAGCAACAGACTTAAGGTACCGTGACCACTTTGAATCACTGAAGTTGTGATGGTGCTTGGAGTATCCCTTTAACTTACCAGTTGTGTTTAAAATACAACCCTCAACTGGCTGGTACTGCTCATGCCTTTGCCATATATTACTGGAGGTGGATCTTTCATATCTAGCTAACTGTAGGCCATTGTTTAAACTAGAAGACTGAGATTTTATTTAGATGGTGAATGTTCCATTTAGGAAACTCCAAGTATTATTTCTCCATTATGATTTCTGAGGTTACATAGGCTGAAAAGATGAAAACGTGTGTCCATTAAGTTCAGCCTTCCTCACATTAGTTTTTTGCTGTTGATCCAAAAGAGGTAATATTACTTTGGCAAACACTTTGTGGTTTGATGTTCTTTCATAACGTACAGTAAACCACTTTAATATGTATATACGCACTAAATACTAACCAGAAGAGATTAATGTAATTGTAATTTATCGATCCAATGAGTAAAGTGGACATCTTTCATTTGGGCATCCAGGAGGTTTTCTGTAATTTGGCACAATGTACATCATGAGCAGGACATAAGATGTTTTCTAACTCAGACTTGTTGTCCAGATCAGTCGTTTTTAAGAGAGGAACCTACATTATAAAAATGGAATTAGTTTGATGACTCATGTGTTAGTTATAAACTTGCCTAAGTGACTCTGGAACATTTGTAAGAGGACAGATATGACATATCTCAATGGTTCCATCTGCCATGAGTTGAAGAACAATATACGAAAGAAGATCTTCCATCCCACTCTCTATTTAGGATAGATATGTTTTGTTTCCCATTTTCACGTTATCCGTTTACTCTGCAAATTAGAGGCACATTATATTAATCCATGTCTGTGTTCTTCCTGTAGGTAACTTCACAAAGATGCCCGGCACAGTGTGGACAGTGCCCTGACGAAGTCCCTAGATGTGCTCCATCTGTCCCACTTGTGCTGGATGGTTGCGCCTGCTGCCCAGTATGTGCCCGCCAACAAGGAGAAAGCTGCTCGGAAGTGCATCCCTGCCAAGAAGAAAAGGGTCTATACTGCGACTTCAGTGCAGACCTCAGTGCCGAATCCGGCATTTGCATGGGTAAGGTTTCTACTAAAACAGTTTATAAACTCTATTATCACTATATAATATAATAGATCTCTTATACAAGATGCAATTGACTCCATAAAATAGTGGCTCCATAGAAACAGTAATGCATATTCACTAACAGTTAAGATCATTTATTAAAAATGTGAAACTGAATGAATTCCCTTACAGACATTCTTGGCACATCTAGTTCCTTATATGTGCCAAGAATGTGAACAAAAGTCTCCACCAACCTGAAAGCATGGTTTCTCTGTAAAACTACCTATAGCGGATTCTAGAGTTTATGATCCCTAGTAATTCACCAAGTACTTGAGATGTAATTTTTAGCTAATGGAGGCTGTTTTCATGGTACTTTTTTTTTTACCATATCTACATCTTGATAACAAAGGCTTGATTTTCTTTCTACACTAGCACTAGAAGGCAGCAACTGTGTGTTTGATGGAGTTCTTTACCGGAATGGTGAATCGTTCCAACCGAGTTGCAAGTACCACTGTTCCTGCCAAGATGGACAGATTGGCTGCGTTCCTCGGTGCAACCTCGACCTTTTGCTTCCAGGCCCAGACTGCCCATTCCCAAGAAAAATCAAACTTCCTGGAGATTGCTGTGAAAAGTGGGTTTGTGATTCTAAAGAAGAGGTTGAGATTGGAGGCTACGCAATGGCTGGTGAGAACATTTTCATTTAGAAATATTATTTAGAAATATACGCTTTACATGTAGCATCATTTTATTTTGAATTCTCTAAATTGTGAATGTTGTGAATGTAGCGATTCGTCTCATTAGAATTTTGTTCAACAAACGTTATTCAGGAAAATTATTCTGACAAAAATGGGTCAGTCATCCACAAATAAATACATAATATAATTATTATGTATATATTTTGTAGTATATTGATAGGAGCATTTCCCCACCATTTGGTTAAGAGATAAAGTAAGAAAAAATAACCAATAGAGGGAAAAAGAAGAGGGACAGTAGTAAATCTGTATTTATATATGTTTTTATATATTTATAAAATATATCATGTATAAATATAGGTTGTTGTTATTTTTATTGCTCCAAACATATTTTATTAGAAACAAAATAAAAATATCAGTATAACTCAGTTGTCATAATTATTATTGTTGTTGTTATTCATGCAGCGCCAGCATATTCCATAGCACTTTACAATAATATCAGAGGGGTTAAATTTAACAATAAACTATAATATTTTTTTTATATATATTTCCCTAGCATATAGACCAGAGGCTACTCTTGGAATTGATGCTTCTGATGCGAGTTACAACTGTATTGAACAAACAACTGAATGGAGCGCCTGCTCTAAAACATGTGGAATGGGCCACTCATCGAGGGTGACAAACCGCAACCGACGCTGTGAGATGCAGAAACAGGTCCGTCTGTGTATGGTACGACCCTGTGAAAAAGACACGGAAAAACCCATGGAAAAGGTACGTCCCATGGAATAAGATTAAACAAAATTGTCCAACTGACAGCAAGATTGCAATGAGTGCATTTGAAATTTAAATTAAACTAGGATAGAATATTGCGTCTCAAAAGGCCATTTTACAAAGAGTTACAGGTGGGGAGAATGTTCTGTACACCTTCCCACTTGTCATCGAGGGCAGACTTCCCCCCCCCTCTGATTTGTATGCCACTGAGTAGGATATCACTAGCGGGGATATCCCAGCTTCTTCCAGAAAGAGGTGTAACTTACAACTATAACTGAATAATTATTGCAATTAGCTAATGAGTGTAGATTGTTTTGGATTCTACATCTGATGGGGCAAATAGCTTCAATAGTACCTTTTCTGGTGATCTAGTGGTAGGAGTAGGCAATTGGGTGCTTTACGTGGCGCAGAGTGACTTACAGTGTGTAACAGAGTTGATGGAGTTCAAGAGTGAGATATTTTGGTTGGCAGCAGGGACATTTGTTGTGTAGTATTGTCTCTAGACAATTATTAAAACACAGCAATTAACAAACCATTCTGAATTATTTTAACCCAATTCCCATATATAAGCAGAGTGTAGCCATTTTATGTCTTGTTACTTTTAATATGTTCTTCAATTCTGCCTTCAAAAAAACCAAAATAATCAGACTGTAAGCGGCCATCTTTAATTCTTAAAGACACCGAAGAAGGCTGGTTTTCAACTTGTACAAGGATGTATAAACAGTGTGTATTGTATTTAGAACTGGATTTCACAATATAAAATAAAGCATTCTAAAAATCAATTTATTTTTCAGAAGGGAAAAAAATGTCTGCGACTGAAAAAGTCAGTAAAAGCCATCCATCTGGAATACAAGAACTGCACCAGTATCCAAGCATACAAGCCTAAATTCTGTGGGATTTGCAAAGATGGTCGATGCTGTACCCCCCATAGTACCAAAACCACTCAAGTAGAATTTCAGTGTCCTAACAAGAAAGTCTTCAAGAAACCAGTCATGGTCATCCATAGTTGCGTTTGTCATCACAACTGTCCCCAGGACACAAGCCTTCTTCAAATAGACAATGCAATGTTCCCAGGACTGAAAATATAACAGATTTATATATTGATTATCTCAATCACTGTTTAGATTCTTCAGTTTCAGAAGAGTTTTAAATTCTTAACATGACTTCCTACTTTTAGTGTTATGGTAGGGAGATCTGTGGAGTTAGTACATCCTTAGAGTATATATAGAGTCTATAGAGTGCTTAAGGATCTTGAACAAATTAGCCATTGGCAATTACTGACGGTCGACTTATTTTTGTTGATTTCATTAGGTGAAATATTCTTGAAATCAGCAAGATAATTTAGTCCATGATCTGTTTTAAATTGATTTGTAAAATTGTATATAAAGTAATTTATAGTTTAAGGGTGAAAATTCTATTACTATAATATTTGTTTCAAGGGACAGTCTTAGCACCAAAATCATTTCAACAAGTAATTTTGGGTTATAAATCATTACAACATGCAATTTTGGGGTATAGATCCCAACCTTGAGTAGATCCCAACCTTGAATAGCACAGTTTACGTGTGACGGTTTCCACTTCTACTAGTGGCTGTTATTAATTCATACAGCCATTTGGGGCGTCAGAATTTATTAGATTATGTTATTGAATCTATATCATGACGCTTGAGGCTGTGTGAGTCCAATGCTTCTCTGTGAGAAGTACCAGACCGGTGGATCTGCTTGCACAGTGTGTCCTCATTTTCCCTTTGCCTGTCTTGGCACTGGATAAAATGGTAAGTGTAATTGTGTATTTTTAATGATTAGGAAAGGGATAGAGCTGTATTGTAAATCATATATAATAATAAATATTAGTGTTTCTTTAAGGTGTGTGTGTGTGTGTGTGTGTCTGTCTGTATATATATAATTGTGTGATGTGAAGTGTGAAATGTTACTACACCAGCCCCTGTCTCTATCATAGATTAGGACTTAAGATTCCAAGATTTACACTACTAGCCAAGCTTTAAAACTTACTTGCCCCTATACACCTGGAGGGTACATGGCAGACTCTTCGGGGTGAATTTCTTGTCTCCAGGGCGAAATTCGTACTGCTTTTTTATAAATGATTTACAAACAAAAATTTATTTTCTTTACACCTGCTGTAAAACACACTTTTGTGCCGAGCCTTCTATAAGGGGTGTGTGTCTTGGATATAACAAATCACAGAATCTAAAGCAAGTCTGACAATCAGATAACAAAGACTCTCTAGAAAATGGACTTTGGTCTTTTTTTTTTGCTCACCTGTGGTGCCTGTATACCAAATGAAGAGTTAAATTATAAGAATGACTTTTCCATGATTTGTACATGATCTGTGATTCTGCAAAATAATATGAGATGTTACACTGCAAACAGGTTATGATTGTATAAGTGTGTACTGTCTTATTTCAGGTTTCCAAATATAAACATAAGACTTTTGTATTTTTTAATATATTTCAGTTCACCTGCTATATATATATTTGTATGTACCATTTCTCTAAAATTTTAATATACAAAATATTTGTAAAAAATATTTTTGATGTCATATACTCTTGTTATAATAAAGGATATGTTGTAGGTGTTTGTCTGCTCTACGGAAAAAAAAGAGAAAGGACGAATTGATGTTTAATGAATAGCTGTAAATATGACCTGTAAAAAAATATGAAATAGCCATTTTTTGTGATTCCCAATTTACGATTCTCCAAGGATACATTGTGCTGAAAGTGCTGTCATTGTTAATTAATTATTGGCCGGTGAATTTGAAAAATTTCAGCTCTGCAACTTTGGCCGAATATGTGCAATTCTAGCTCTTCAACTTCTGGCATTCTGAGCAATAACTCCATAACTGCACTGTATGCTCTACTGTAAGATAGGTTATCTTCAAACTAACATTAAAAATTGTCAGTGTCTTTAATTACCACTGTTTAGAATTGTCTCTATAAGTATTTAATGTGTTTAAGATACTGTTTTAAATATAACATATGTATGTATATTTGTATATATGAAATTATTACACAATGTAAAATTGATTTTTGTTTACTTTGTGATACTGTATATTTTATTTTAATGTTTGTAACCTTTTTTAATAAAAAAAAAAAAAAGCCGATATACATTTTTATATTTCAATCTGAGAACTACTTGCAATTAAAGGGTATTCTATCAAATTAGTTTTGCTCTTGTTTTAACAACTTTATATATGCATACACACACGAAAAAGTTTAAATAACTTTTTAATGTATATATAAATGTTTATGCAGAGGAGGTCACGCGGTTATATCATCCCGAAGTACAAAAGCAATCAGTGCAAAACCAGAGAAGGTTTTGCACACGTTTTCCAAGGGATGAGGTAATATATAAAGATTGGCATTCAATAAAGGGACTGTTTGTGAAGCCCTAGATACAGCTTTTCTGACTGTGACTCACACAACCTCCAAAATATGGTTTCATTTTCAGTCAGATCTTATAGCACAGTGTGTTCACCTTAGATGTTCTAATCTCCTGCTTTGTTAATTGAACTTCAGTCATACCCATGAGGCTGCTACAAGCTTTATCAGGCTATTAACAGAGCAGGAATTAAGTTCTAAATTAAACACACTGTGCAATAAGGAAAGTTACAAATAAATAGATGTATTCTTCAAGAATTGTGCAACGAGGCTATTTGATTTTCAACCAGAAACAAATTAACTTAAAGGACCACTATAGTGCCAGGAAACATACTCGTTTTCCTGGCACTATAGTGCCCTGAGGGTGCCCCCACCCTCAGGGTCCCCCTCCCGCCAGGCTCTAGGGTGAGGAATGGGTTAAACTTACCTCTTTCTCCAGCTACAGTGAGAAGCACGCAAGCGCCTCTAGCGGCTGTCAATGAGACAGCCACTAGAGGCTGGATTAACCCTAATATAAACATAGCAGTTTCTCCTTTGTGTCCTTTTAATCCCTGGATCCCCCTCCCCTACAAATTACAGCAAAATATATGAAGACTGGCATCCAGTAATCACACTTTCCCCTGCCCATACCAGACACTGCAGTGATATATAAAGATTGGTATCCACTCATTACTGTATATCCTTTACCTACCAGACACAGCAAAGGTAATATATAGACTGGCATTCATCTGTATGCCTTGCCACCTGTACTATTACTATTATTGCGCCAACAAATGCCGCAGCGCTGTATGATAGGTGGGGTAATGTGACACAAAACGTAAGAGTTGGGTAGGGTAGAAAAGTAGGTTGCTAGGATAGTGTTCATTGAGGACTTAGTGTTTTGTTTAGATCAGTGGCATACATACCGCGGTCACAGGGGTCGCAGCTGCGACTGAGCCCAGCACTACAGGGGGCCCGGCCGCCCTGCAGACCCCCGCGACCAGGTGCCAGCTGCCACATTTGGCGGCCCCGGACCACGCTGCTAACAGCTGGGAACGCATATGGAGGGGTCCATCGGGTGGTCCATGCTGTCAGGGCCACCCGATGGATATGGATTATCAGGGGGCCCGGTCAGCGCTGGGAGCTTTAACAGTGCAACTGGGCCCCCTGTGATCACATCACAAGCTGGGAGGAAGTGATTCCCCGGTCACTCCTCCCAGCTATCAGGACCCACGCGGGAGGAAGGAGGAGGAGGGAGATTGGTATCCACTCATGGGAACTCTGACTCCCATCAGGCTGAGCCCCCAGGGAAAGTCACAAGGTAGGAAACATTTTGTATATGTATGTCTCTGTATGTGTGTGTGTGTGTGTCTGTGTCTCTGTATGTGTCTCTGTATGTGAGGAACTGACTCTGCTGGGTTTCGAACCCTGGTTTACATGGTGCTAAACCTCTTCCTTACCAGTACACCAGCCTGCCTTTTGCAAATTCACCTGAGATTTTGCAAATTCACCTGAGATCTGATACCATTGCTTATAGAGTCAAGGTTATCAGTGACAACTCTCTTCAGCTGTGTCTGGTCAGGTGTCTGGTTCTTGGCCTATAAAAGCCACTTCCTGTCTCTGTACCTTTGCCAGATTATTGTGGTTCCTGTACTCTCTAATCAAGCGTGTTCCTGTTTCTCCTTCCTGTTGCTGAATTTGGACTGTTTTGACTTTGCTGCTTCTCCTTCCCACTGACCTCGGCTTGCCTCACTACGATTATCATCTTTCTGTTCCAGTCTCCCATCTCTGCTTAAGACCAGAAGGCCACTCAAGGCTCAGGGGCTCAACCACCTGGGTAACGAGTGGCTACCTCTGGCAGAAAACATTGCTGATCTGGCTACTGGACTCCAAAACTTTGTAACATCAATATCATTACAGAATAATCTGGCCCATTCATGGAGACCGTCGGATCAGATTCTGCATTGGCCCAGCAGGTTGCTTTTAATGCAAGAACTATGCAGACCCAGGCACAGACCATTCAAGTGCTGCAGGATCAGGTAGCTGAACTGCAAAATGAAGTTCGATCAATGCATAGTGAGCTTACCAGCTACAGGGCACATGATGTTGCGGCTGCTGCTACTACTACTGTTACACCTGCACAAGATGCCCGCTTGCCTCTACCAGAAAAATTTGGAGGAGACCGCAAAAAATTCAGGGGTTTCCTAAATCAATGCCGTTTGCATTTCATGATGTTACCTAACCGTTTTCCATCTGAAAGAGAGAAGGTGGGATTTATTTTTTCCCTCTTCAAAGATGAAGCCCTGGCCTGGGGCTCCCCTTTTCTGGAACAGGACAGTCCAGTCTTGGGAAATTTAAAAGACTTTCTTGAGGCCATGTGCCTAGTTTTTGATGATCCCAATCGCTGTGCTACAGCAGAAGCCACTCTCCTTCATTTACATCAAGGGAGGCGCTCTGTGGCTGAATATGCTGCTGAATTCAGACAGTGGGTTACTGATACTACTTGGAACCAATCAGCCCAGAGGTTCCACTTCAGAAGGGGTCTCTCAGAAGCTATAAAAGATGAGCTAGCTCGTGTTGATCTTCCTGTTGAGTTTGATGCATTTGTGCGGTTGGCTATCCGTATTGATCGGAGACTTTCAGAAAGAAGATTGGAAAGACAGGGCTCAGGGCTCTTTTAAACCAAGTGCCACTCCTACTTTCTATTCAAGAATTTCTACTCCGACCCCACAAACACCTACAGACTCTGAACCTGAGGCTATGCAGGTAGATCTAATAAGAGGGCCATTATCCAATGAAGAAAAACAGTGGCGACGCACTCACAACTTATGCCTGTATTGTGGTAGTGCAGGGCATTATGCCATCAATTGCCCTAACAAGTCTAAAAGAACAATAGCTATGACTGCTGAGGGTGCACAGATTCAACACCAATCCCAGATTTCAGACCAACTGGATTCTGTCACACAACCCTTGTTTTCTCTGGCTCAGGGTGAAGAAGGTATGATGACTCAACATCCTCATTTGGTGGTGCCTATCACTTTGCAATATGGTGATAATAAAATTTCAACTACAGCTATGATAGATTCCGGAGCAGGCGGAAACTTTATGGACATTAAATTTGCAGCAGGAAATAAAATTCAGTCTATCCCTAAATCTTCACCTGTGTTAATGGAAACAGTAGACGGTTCTCCACTTACGTCAGGCCCGGTTACACATGAGACTGTGCCCTTAAAATTGATTCTGGAAGTGAATCACCATGAGTCTATATCTTTCCACCTAATTTCCTCAACACAGTTTCCAGTGATTTTGGGTATACCCTGGCTTGCTCTGCATAACCCACAGATTGACTGGAAGACTAGAACTTTGTCCTTTCCTTCAGAACACTGCTTAATGAATTGTCAACCCTCTAAGGCGACACCTGTTACCACAACAATTAATGAAATGGTTGCTACAAACTTAACTAAGCTTCCGCTACAATATCGGGATTTTGCAGATGTCTGTGATAAGAAGAATGCTGATCAACTTCCACCTCACAGGCCTTATGATTGCCCCATAGAGCTGCTACCTGGAGCTGCTATCCCATTTGGCCGTATATACTCCCTTTCTGAGCCTGAATTGAAAGCACTTCGTGAATACATACAAGAAAATCTTGCCAAAGGCTTTATTCGACCATCCACTTCTCCAGCAGGAGCTCCTATATTCTTTGTAGAAAAGAAAGATGGCAGTCTACGGCCATGTGTCGATTACAGGGACATTAATAAAATCACTGTTAAAAACCGTTATCCCTTGCCTCTCATTCCTGAACTTCTGGAGAGACTTCGTTCAGCTAAAATATTTACGAAGCTTGATCTACGGGGGGCATATAATCTGGTTCGCATAAGACCAAATGATGAATGGAAAACAGCTTTCAGAACCAGGTACGGACATTACGAATATCTAGTAATGCCATTTGGGCTTTGTAATGCCCCTGCAACTTTTCAGCATCTAATCAATGATGTACTACGGGATCTCCTGGATCAGTTTGTTGTGGCATATTTGGATGATATCCTGATATTTTCTGATAATCTTGAAAATCACAGAAAACAGGTCTGCATTGTTCTTGAGCGCCTTCGTACCCACCACCTATACATTAAACTGGAAAAATGTGAGTTTGAACAAACAGAAATTCAGTTCCTGGGGTATGTAATAACTCCTAAAGGTTTAAGTATGGACGCAAGTAAAATTAAAGCTGTGCTGGACTGGCCCATCCCCAAGAATGAAAAAGATATACAGAGATTTGTGGGGTTTGCCAATTTTTACAGGCGTTTCATTAAGAATTTCTCTGCCGTTATTACACCGATCACTGAACTTACACGTAAAGGGACTCCTTTTCAGTGGTCTAATAAGGCTGACACTGCATTTTCCAGATTAAAGACTCTGTTTACATCTGCCCCTATCTTGGTACATCCTCAGCCAGAATTGCCATTTACTGTAGAGGTAGATGCTTCTGATTCAGCTGTTGGGGCTATACTGTCTCAAAGGACTGGACCTAAGATGTTGTTACATCCATGTGCCTTCTATTCCCGCCAGATGTTACCAGCAGAAAGAAATTATGACATAGGGAATAAAGAACTTTTGGCTATAAAAGCTGCCTTCACCGAATGGAGACATCTCTTGGAGGGAGCCACCCATCCAATTACTGTCCTCACAGATCACAAAAATCTGGAATATATCCAATCCGCTAAGAGACTGTCAGCCAGACAAGCACGCTGGTCCCTATTTTTCTCAAGG